TCGTCACCCATGATTCCATAGCCCAAAGTCGTTCTTTTTGTGGTGGAGGATGAAATCCAAATCCACCTTGTTGGAAGACCAAGATGTTAGATCAGCCCTCCTCCCCCGCGTGCAAAAAACTGGATGACTAATCATGTAAAGACTTGCGTGTCCCAAGTTGAGCCCAAGGGTCGAGTTGCATGGCACGCCTAGCCACAGCAATCCGTTTTCCTTCAATCGCAGCACTCCCTTCATTGCCAGGAGAAAGCCCTGGCTTGAAGTCAAATCGTGCAGAGGCCCACGGTTGATGTCGGACCGCCGCACTTCAAAGCCTTCCATACCTGGAGACTGGCCGGAGGGACGCCGAAGGGAAGGGTATATTGTCAAGGCATTGAATTGGCAATGCTGGAAAACATCAAAAGGCCGGCAGGTTACGGCATTGTCGCCCCAATTCGCCGCAGCCACTGAACATCTCATATACATCCACATCCTGACGTAGTTTGAAAAGTACTAGGCTGCCCAAGCGCATTGACATGCAGGCAAGAGAAACCCATGAAATTGAACAGTTTGCTTTCAACATTCTCGACAACATTGCATTGTTCAATTCGGTCCCTCTGCCAGTGGTTGTCAGCTGCTGACAGCTGCTGCGAAACATAGTCCCAGCAATGAATCCTCAGTGTGGAGTCAGCAGCTGTCATACTGGGCGACTGTATACACCCAACCAAATGAGTACACAAGCCTGTATTGGCAATTAAAGACCCATCACCCTTAGCCCCTCCCAAACCTAAGTTTTGAAGCTGCTACAGCGGGGGACTTGAGTGATTTTTTACAATTAACGGAAAGTTAAAACAAACATGAAAGCGACTTGATGATCGTGATCAGAAAAGGGTCAGAAGTACTGGAGCACCATAGAACAGGAGCAGAGCCGCTTTTTTCCGGGACAACCCGAACGCCATGGCTTTGAAACAAAACCAACGCGTTTAGTATACGCACCCCTGCAAGGAAGATCTTGATTGCAAATGAAGAGAAGCATACCCAACACAGGCAACCAACTCTGGAGCTGGACTGTGAAGTCCTAGTACCCAACAACGCCTCATTCACATTTTTTTCTTCTTTTCAAGGTCTTTGTGCCCGGATCCTGTCGGATGCACCACTTTCGCATCCTAACCCAGCTGCGTGGAGGGCGCTTGCCATTTCCAATACCGGTTCAACACAACAGTCTACAGGTACATTTACCCTTCAGCCCCCCACATCAGCAAACTACCCAGATTAGATCATCAAGATTAAATCCAGCCAGCTACACGCTGACTGATGTCCCAAGACTTTGTCCATCCACCCCTCTTTCGGACAGCAATAGTAACCCCCTTACCCTTTGGAGTAAGGCCCTCAGGGATTGCAGCTGCATCAATGATCTTGCTCACATAGATTTGCTCAAGGTGCCACCTCATTGACAAACAATGCCCGAGTACCAGTGAATGCCCAAAGATTTCTGTGCTTTATATTTGCTTTATATATATATATAGAGAGATGCAGATAGAAACAACGCAAGAGGTTCCATGCTAGATTGCAGACCAAAAGCAAAATGCCCAAAGAACCGGCTCCATCCTTGCAGTTTGGCGGTGGTTTGATAGTGAAGCTCTTCCTGGCACCCGCTCCATCCGGAATAGGCACGCCAGCTGCCTTCAGCATTTGCTCCTGGAAGGTGAGGAGGCGCAGTTGTGTGCGGATGGACTCCGGGTTGACCGTTGAAAAGACAAGTATATGCATACATATTTTATATAGATATAGATTTTTGTTGCCTGGATGCACAATCACCACACAGTACAATTTGGTCAAAACACAAGTCATATTGTAGGTAATGGTCTCCTTCTCCTTCCATGCATCTTGGAGTGATGGCTCTGCACTGCAATTGGGGGCAGGATCAGGCATATTTTGATCACCATGGTCACATGCCTGATCACCTGTGCCTCCTGAAGCATCACCACCTTTATCGTCAGAAGGGACAGATGTGGACCGACCCCTTCCACGACCACGGCCCTTGCCAGCCCTCCCAGTAGCTTTTTTGTTGATGGCTTTCTGAACTTTGGGATCCTTAGAAGCCCGCTCAAGAAGCTTTTCAGCAGATTCCACCTTTGCGGCCTTGGATTTCGCAAGTTGGGCTGAGTAGGGATCACTAGGCCCCTCTTCAACATCTATCTTCTCTTTAACAAGTTCATGAGCAACCTTCTCCAAGTCAGCCCGAGCCGATGGCTTCTCTGCTTCAATAGGTGTTCGGTCCTGGCGTCATGAACGTGCTAGCTAGCCGTCAGTTGTTGTTGCCCAGTACAGACTTGTAAAAGGTCAGACTCCCATTAAAAAAATATTAATGTCGCATTGTCCTTCAAAGCTTGACGTCGACAACCGGAAATATCAGCAGCCGGAGGTTCCATGAAGCCATCGAGGATGGTCTCCAGCTGAGTCTCGAGCTCATCAGGGTGGGGTACCTGAGAAAATGGTTTGCTGGGTGGTAAAGGACTTTATAAGACACAGACAGAGGCCTACTTGCTTCAGGACAGTTTTCTCAAAATCAAATACACCGACACATGACAGCGCGCACAGGGTCCGATCGTCTGGCAGTGTTTGGGGGTGAAGCACTAGTAGTAGACGACGGGGTCAACGCCGTATTCTCAGGCTCCTCAACCAGTACGAGTCAGATGCCCGATTCATATGGGATATTTGACTACGCCGGGGTTGTTTTGAAATGCTTTCAGGGTCACTATATACATACATGGGTTGTGCAGGAATGTCCTCCAGTGCCACCGCAGCATTCAATGCAGCTTCCACACCGTGTTCTGGATCCCCACCAGCTGGCCAGGAAGAAGGGTGAAGGGTAAGTAAAAACATATTCAAATTCAGATCATGCGGCCTTCATGAACCAATTTTTTGTCCACCCGCGCCTTTGAGTTTTAAATCCAATAGGAACTCCTTCAGAAACCTGACCTTTGGAGATCTGGAAGATTTGGCTTTCTTGCAAAGGTACAGCACGTGTGTCAGCATGCAACGCAAATTGGCAGCTTCTGTTCCAGCCCAATCCTGGCCATCATGCATTGTGAAACCCATTCAGAAGGGAGTACAGTATAGTGAAATATATATTTTTGATTGCAAGAATCCGTTGGGCCTTGATTTCACGACCTTTGGCTTTTGAGCCCAAGATTGCATACCTTTTGCACAAGGTGATGATCACTTCCTGCCGCCGAGTGATGGAGCGTCTCACCGTCTCACCACATATTTAAACATGTTGATCTAACAAGGCATATTGTCAATGGTCACAACCCCACCTCAAGATCACACTCCCACACTCCCCAATTACATCCTAGGGTCCTAGGAATGTCACCACGCCTGATGAATCTTCAAGCATGGAATCACCAGTTCTGTCGAGGCCAAATACTGCATAGCCAGCTCATAATGCTGCTCAACCTGTAGGTCTTGAACAGGCTGGTTGCGCGTTCTCCCCCAACAAGTATACCAAGATTCACCATAGCACAGACAAAACACCTCTGAAAATGAAGACATGAGTCCATCTCGATAGATGCCGGACCGCTGTCTGGCTTCGTGAAAAGAACCTTAAGCGGCTGCTTCCGGATAGACTCCAGCCGCCCCTCCTCCAAAAGATATTCATTGAGTACGTCCTTCAGGGCATGAACACTTGAGGACCTTTGTCCAAGTCTTTGTTGATTAGATTTGGCCTAAGAATTGCACTAACATGATCGATTCCAAGATGTATGTATAGGCAAGGTTGTTCAAGACCTAGTCTCGAGGAGGTTTAGCCCAGATGTTCAGAATCCGCCGAGCCTCTGCCACGTGCAGAGGCGAGGCATGTCTTGTGGAAGGTTGCTTGTATAGCTTGTAAAGATTGTGACCTTGCCCTGGGTCCTTAGAATGTTCCTTGGTGCGGATTTTTTGGTTCGCTGACTTCACCCCCGATGTTCTTGCTGTTGCTGTTGTTCTTGTTGTTGTTTTCCTTAGTTTTTGTTGTTATGTTCATATCTAACCACGGCTTTGTTCTTACAATCCAAAAACTTGGTGGGGCGGCGGACCTGGCCGAAGGCTGTTAAATAACACGGAATAACTATTGTGTATATAGTCAAGGTTGTTCAAGACCCGGTCTCAAACAGGTTTATCACAGCATAATACGGCATAATTACATAAAATACCCGGCCCATGTCCTCTATGACAGCTGCATAGTACTTATTCTGCTGGTTTGGTGGGGCCATGGCTTCAGCTTGAAGGCAATAGTCACACTAGCTAGCTGCGCAACCAAAATGCTGCACAGCTGCTAACCCATGCCAACAGCTATTTGCAGCGCAGCCCTCTCAAGTGGCTAAATCTGCAACACACCTATCTCAATTGCCTAGGTTTAAAAAAAGAACGCGTCGTGTCCACTAAACTTTACCCACATGCATGTTTTGCATGCTCATATTTCCACAAACCTTGACCAATCACAGCACTGCAGTGGGCAGGCAGGCACCTCCCCAATGTTGAACCAGTCCACCACTGCCAGTACTTCCAGAAGCTTGGAAACCAGTAGGCCCTTGCCCACCAGCGGGTGCACCATCAGCTAGTGCTGACCGAGCCTTCTCAGCTCGGTGAGCTGCTTTGGCGCGTTTCATGGCATGCTTCTAGCCAACTCAAATCAAAAAAACACTTGATTGCTGCATGGTCTACACATGTCTACACTACTGAATGCGGGAACTTCCAGTTTCTGTCCAAAAGATGTCTGAATGATGACATCAAGCCATAATTGTACTTAACATTATTGGCCAAAATGGCCCTGTGAAGCCTCAGAATGCAGGTCCGACACATCCGACAAACGCATTTCCGACAATGTCGGTGCTATTCTTGGTCATCAGACATGACCTCAAATTTTGAGGTCATTTCTATTTTACACCTATTGATGGTCATGGATCCTCAGGGTAATATAGTGTTTCCCTGGCAAGGCGTCGTTCGTTGGTGCGGCAGATCCAAAATTGCAAATCACTAAGGAACCGTGGTGAGATTTGGGAAATCACGGACGATGAAGTCATTGCAGAAGGAGTGTACTTGGACGATAAGAACCGCAGAATCCTAGGTCTTGGCCCTCCAGTCCGCTGGTGTTTGTGCTTTCGGTCGTTCTTCCCTTTGACTAAGCCCAGAATTCTTAGGGTTTCTTCTTCGGCATTTGTTCTGATCAGCACGGCACTCCGTGTGGCTTCCACGCTGACCGGTGGTGACGGTCCGGTCGACCGGCCCGACCGAGGCAGCGCACGCAGCTCTTGGACTTGCTGGTGCCGGGCACCGGGCGCATCCATCGCTTCAAGTCGTCGACGCAGACGGACTTCTCGGACATGATACTGTGTCTCACCCGGCAGGGGCAAAGTGACCCGGTGGCACTCCGGAGCGGAGAGAATTGAGAGGTTTCTGGCAAGGAGGGAGAAGGACTCCTGAGAGTTTTGAGGGGGAATAGTGTAGATTGCAGATGATGAATGTAGATTGTTTCGAGGTTCCTGATCATCCCTGATCAGCAAATCCAAGGCAACAAGGAGATCATTGAGGAGATTAAGTTCTATATGCCAGAGCTCAGAGCCGATGGTCTTTATGGAAACCTGGGATGTGATGATGAAAAGCAACGGGCCTTTCTTTCAGTGCTGAGTGCGGTTTGGCTGGTCAATGGTGACTACACCAGTATGGTCGAATGCCAAAAGCCAGGGGCGCGCTTGCGCATGCAAACCTTCAACTTGATCAGAGAGAATTTATGCATTAGGGAGATGACCACCAGCCAGATCACAGCAACTGGGTGTTTGGAATGTGTGTTTCTTTATGTTTCTTTACTATTGTATTATTTTAAAATATGTTTGAAATGTTACTGTACTCTCTACTTGGAACAAGTTAGCCCGGTTATCCAAATACTGAGATGTTCAGAAATGTTCCGGCATGTTTTTTGTCCAGTCAATCAGCCACCAGGTAGCAATCTTGATTTTGGCCATCCGTGGTTTGAGCAAAACTGATGATGTGGCACGGCTGTGCCCCCCTTCTGAAGCTCGCTTCAAGCCTTTGTTTGCCCAGTTTCTTCACACCTTTCGCACCAACGGTTTTGGTTTCTCGTTGTCACCAATTCACCGGCACGCAGTCGTTCCCATTTTTTTGCCAGGAACGTCGTAGGCCTGAAGACGTTCTCTACTATGCCGTCAGTAACTTGGATCCGTACCTGCCTTCAATAGCTTCGATCAAGGGCGAAGTCTTCGACATGATGATTTGCACCGTTCGCATGCTGGGCGAATTCAACTTCGCCCAGCTGCTTCAAGGAGAGAACAACCCTCATTCAGTTTGGCAGCTGCAGAGTGCTCGCAAGGACAAGTTGGATTGGCAGAGTCAGGTTGATTTCTTTAGCTTCTCTCCAACAATTCATGGAAGTTAGTTATATAGACATGGCCCGTGGAAAGAGCATGTTTGCAAAAGAAAGGGGGTTATCAATTTTCATGTTTGTTGAAGGGGGGTAGATTGTTCAATACGCGTGCTTTGTCATCCTGAATGGTTGCGAAACACTGGTAAATCGATGCTGAACAGATTCGGTCCCCTCAGCTTTCCTGACAAACTACCCTCCCGCAAACTAACATGTAACCTGAGAATTGACCGGTGGTTTCGACCATTTTCCTCTACAGTGCTTTTGGGGTTCCATGTCAATGCGCAGGGGAGTCGTCCCTCTTGTTCTGTCCGTGTCTCGTTTGTTCAGTGTTTTTCAAGAGGTGACGCCACCTCCCGTCGCCATCGCCGCCATAGCTCGGGCCAGTTGTTGTATATTATATTTCCGCCCACGGGCGGGCCAGTCGTCTGCGGCAGGAAGAAGGGCAAGAAGTCTTTTCAATTTTCCTCTTAGTGCACGTGTGCATCTTATGCGGCGTCACTGGAGCAGTCACCTTGGATGGCTCATTGCTTCTCGGACCGCCCGTGGACCAGGCAGAACCGATTTTTCAATGCGGACCGTGGAGGTCGAAATGGCGGTGGCTTAACAACAAGGTGCCCCCCCAACCCCCCATACGCCCTAGTAATTAAATGGAGGACATTACATGTGGGTTCTCGGGTCACAGATATTACTGAGCCAAATCCATATGCCCACTTGGGGCAATCCTGTTAGGGGGGAACTGGAAGCATCGGATAAGGCAGTGGAGCAGTCCGCATTCAGGAGATCAGTGGTGATAAGGATGACAAGTGGTGTAAAATCCTGCTGATTTGCGGAAGCAATTGGAATGCATATATTCATATGCGTGCCCATCCTGACATACATGCACACCCATTCTTGGCAGTTCCTGAGATGCTAAACTCCAGGGCATGTCCGGTTGTTGTAAAGGGGTAGCACCAGGAGTTTCCTCGTATTGTGCATAGTCCTAAGCTTCCCTGTTTGGCCCGGCGGCTCTTGTCGTTCATCCAGCTGCTCAAATCTTGCAGAACCAAGGTTTCTCACTGAATTGAATGGGCGCTCTGTGTTGAAGGGCCTGGCCTGCTTGCAGGATCTCTCCAACAAAGAGCCGCCAAATATCTACTGGTACTCTGGGAGGATTTGCGTCGATTTTGCTTTCAGTGTTGTTTTGTTAGTTTCCCTGACCGACATCACCACCCGAACCCTCCAAGACAAAACCATCCACTACGCTGAACAAGCGGCGTGTATATAATAAATATATTGACCACACTTTGGCCCGTTCGAACCAGAAAACATCAAGAACCCCGTTCAGGTTGGGTTTTCATTGGAGAGATCATGTTCATCACGCTTTGGGGTGGATTTCGGGGGTTCAGTGGAAACCCATGTCGATTCCAGGCAGAGCTGGACACGATTAAGGCAAACCCAATCTCAGAAAGCCTCCGTTCGTAAGTGTTGCCCCGAGACCTCCGAGACCTGCGAGCAGTGCCAGGAAGGTAGGGTCTGGGTTTCCGGCTGGGACCGTTGGCCAAGCATTTTAGTCAGCAGTTTTCCTTCGCACGTGGCACAGGGACACTCCCATCTTAGCATTCCATGCTTACCAGTCCAGTGCTTACCAAACACCACTCTGCTGAGATGCAGCAGCCCCTACAAATTGATTTACTCTCACCCTGCTAGCTCGAAGGAGCTCCGTTACCCGACCTCGCGAATAAAACCTCCCGACCCCGGATTGTATTGCGGGTGCTGAGGCATTACATCGCGGTGCGCGCCGAAGCACTGCAGCTCAAAGTGCAAGAGGCCAGCCATTTGGTTTTGGCCCGCTTGGCTTGCTTAACACGCACCGTGGACACCGAGTCATTGAAACAACTCAATAATGAGCCTTGGACAAAATATGGTATGGAGCATGCTGGTTGGCTTGCTGGTGGCTATGTCGGCTATGTTTGGTCATATTCTGGCTCGTTCCACGAATTTGCACAAACGCGTTCAAGTACTGACTCCTTGATGAGGCATGCTTCTCTTTTGCGCAAACGCGTTTGGTATTTGGATGTAATCCCACTTCCGATCCCACTTTTCACGCCTCAGGATTGGAACGCCTTATCCGATTCCGAGCAGAATGCCCTCCAGGAGATTTTCTTGCTGGATGGACATACGCACAAGGTGAGGGCTGGGACGGTGAGTCGGGATGGGCACCGGACTCTTTCCCAAAAAAGAGGATGAATCCCTGCATTGCATTGGGTGACACTGGGAGTGTGCATTTGCACACTTATGTAAAATTAATGGCATGTATATAATCCTGTCCACCTATCAAAAAGCACGCGGTCCCCCCCTAATAAGGAAACCTCGGTCGCCTTTTTTTAGTAAGGGGTCCCTGAAATCAGGGTGGTCCAAAATAGGGTCACCTGGGAAGGGCTTCAAAACCAAAAAGTCACCCAGGAAAATTTATGTACAATCCTTTATTAAACTCGTATCAACAATTCAAAAAAAACTCCAGATCGAAGGGTCTTCCTTTTCCTCTACAAAAACCTTCATTAGAATAGTGATTCTTCATTAGACTAACAACTAAAGCTCAAGGTGATGTCGCTGTGCCATGCGGTTTTGCGTGACCTCGGTGGAAAGTGCGTTTGCGTGAGTCCGTGCCATTGGGGGAAGGAAAGCCTGCTGGTGTAAACACGGCGTGTCATGGTTGATAGAGGTGGGCAGTTGCATGCAGTTACAGTTGCTTTTGGAACCTAAAAAAACTCATCCAAAATCGGCCATGGTGGTAGTTTAGTAGAAGCTTGAAAGGGCGGTAAATTAAAAAACGAACACAAGCCGTATTTGGGGGGCTCCGACATGATTTTTTTTAGAATAGGGTCCTCCTACCTTTTTGAAGGGGAGCGATCAGCTTGACCACCAAAGAATTCAGAGCCTCTATTGAATCTGAACTTCACTCCATCCATCTCTATCCTTCAAAGCCATGAACAGTCTAGGATGTGTGGTCGAATTATTCGAGGTAGGGTGGGGACACACGCCTGACCTGACTCTCTTTGCAAGGCCTTTATGTTCATGTACTTGCCGCTGTTCTTGACGAATGCCATGGGGAACAAGGGTCTTGGACTACGAGCAGGGTTGCAAGGGTTAGTTGAGCTCTACAACAAGTTGCTCAAACACCAATGCCTCAAAGAGGATGTCTCTACAGTGAAGGTGGATATGTCGCTGGGCCCGAGTGAAGAAGTGTTGCTTTTGTTTTTGCGCTCCTTCGCATGGAAGTGGAACATGGCTCCTTGAAGGCCTGATCTTCCAGTTCCATTGTTTTCGGGAGGATCCCCATGTTCGTTGATAAACCCTTTAGGCTCCGCTTCAGCTGTTGCTCAGCTTTACATGGGGCAGAGCAGAGAAGGGATCCTTGAACGTGTGAGAAGAGTCACTCCAGGTACCTTCACTAGAATCATACGTGATCATAGTTTTGAGGCGTACGCTATATCACCCAGCATCCCAACCTGGGCCTCACCATGCTTTCGGGAACCGATGTACCACACAGGTCAGCGCTCGCCAACTTGGCGAAGGGCGTTGATGACTACAAACTCTTGCGGCAATGCTTGGACCACTCCAGAATCGTCAAACATGTACATGGGGTCACCGTGCTGATGACCGCAAAGAGCCGCTTGGCAAAATCCGCAAGTCCATCATGTGCACCATTCTGGTTGCGTGGTGTGCATGCAGTGTTGGAACATGTATGTCCTGGCCCCTGGCAGCACTTCACTCGTTTTAATTCTTCAGGAGGTTCTTATCGCTTCGTATAGCGCTTATAGGGTGGATGGGTTTGTCCCCAGCGTGCCAGGCTATCAAGTGCTGTCGGGGCAGCTGGTGACCGAGAACCGGAGCGTGGACATGTTGGAGATGGTGGTGGCTCGGCAGAGGCAACTCGAGGCGGCCATGATTCCCAAGGAAGTCCGCCCATTGCCCCTCCTTCAAGTCAGCGAAGCGCCCTGGTTTGGAAGAAGTAGTGGTTCTTGAGCTGTTCAGTTGCTTTGCTTTTGAGTGTCCTTTTGGTCAGGCATTAGTGTGGAATTGCGTTGTGTGCCAGGGTCTAGCGTTGCCCTCGCGTTGCCCTCGTTGTACCCAGATGGCGCAGCCATCAGAGCCCACTGCTAGTACTAAGTTCCTGAGCTTGTCTCGGATGGAGCAGCCAGTCTCCTTTCCTGCTAAGGAAGAAGTCGTGGAAGATATGTTTTGAGCCTGGCCGATTGCCCCCTGAGGCAGAAAGCACATAGCGATGACTTCAGGGGCCGTCTCACTCCCTTCCACCCAGGGGCCGTGGCCGAGCCACGAGCCAAGAATCTGTGGTTAATTATTTGGTCATGGGATTACTGACCACCACTGAGAAGTGTGTGTGTGTGTGTGTGTGCGCGTATGTGTGTGTGTGTGTGTTTGTGTGGTGTGTGTTTGTATATTGAGATCAGTATATCGATGGTGGTCAATCGATGGTGGTCAACAATTCCACAGCCAAGCACAGCCGCACAGCACCTGAAACGTCCCGTTGAATCCATGGAAGGGATCGACGCAGGTGACTTGCAGCACCAACAAATCAACACGAGTGCGAGAGCAAAAAGAGAGGCGGCTGACACTGACACATCGCAGATCTTCTTCTTTCAAGCTTTCAGAGGGCTGTGCTGGCAAAATACATCTCGAAGATCGCCCAAAAGAAGGGGAAGCCGGTCCAGCGGGCAGGATCCGTCCTCACTTCTTGAACAGTTCGCTGTCTCAAACGGTTACAGGTAGGTCTTGGGGGTGTCGCAATACCTTTACCAGTCAGGAAACAATTGTCACTATTTGGATCTATTTGGAGAAAGGCCTTTACTAATCGCTAACCGCTAACCGCTAACCATCATCAGCCACTGCTACAGGAATTAGGATATACCCAAGGTAGGTCAACAACTACCGGCGAGGCCAAGGGTTGGATTGCCTCTGCACCGGGGAGCTTCATACAACTGGCGGATGCCTATGAGATTCCACAGGAGGCCCAAGCGTTGCTCGTGTGTTGGGGGATGAGAAATGATAAGAGGATGCGTTTGATTGCCAGACGCACTCCAAAAGATTGATGAGTTAGCATTGACCATACAAGTGAACATGGTTCCTCAAGAGCTGCGTCCAGTAGATGGCAATATCAGAAGTTAGAATTTTGACACCTCATTGCAAGAAAAGATGGCTGGTACATGTATGTTCTCGCACCATGCGTGAGTTGCTGATAGTTGCTGCATCAGTTCTACAAATCTCTGAGAGAAGACACCAGTTCTGAACTGAGTTCCCCATTTTTTGTTTCTCAGGACCCTGACCCAGATGGAACTTGGGAGGTATAGCTTCCACCCTTTGTGGAACCAGCGTCCGGCAGTCCTTCGGCTCGGACCCGACCCGGTCCGATCCACGAGGCCTTGAGCACGAGTAGTGCCAGGACCTTCGCCCGAAGCGCCTTGGTGTCGCTGACTCTGCGAGTGAAGTCCTGCGCCGGAGGACTTGTGGGGGGAGAACATCGGCCCCCACATATAATCTTACATATATATATATATTTCATATATTATATTATATATAGAATATATATATAATAGAAATAGATTATATATATAATAGATTATATATATACAGTATAGAGGTGCTTTGTTTTTTTGGGGGGCACCGTCAACAACTGCTCGGGAATTTGTTTGATCATGTTTGGTCACATTTCCCAGTGCCAACTGTCAGGTCAGAATCAGCAAGATCCGCTCGTTTGCGCAATTGCAAGGCTCGAGCCAGCGCTGCCAGACGGTTTTGCCAGGGCAGATAATTACCATACCTTGGTAGAACTCATCAGGGGTGACCCTGAGTCCTGAATTAACTTGTCCTTTGAATTTCTATGGTTGATAAGGTACAAGCATTCAGAACAAAGGTTTTGGAATATTGATTAGAGAGTGGGGGATGGTGAGGGCAGTGTACAAGATGATTACTTGATGACAGGTGATTTTGTGGGCTGCGTTTTGTTTGAGTGGGGACGCGCTGAACCACTTACAAATCAATGTATATAGCCGTTTCGCAGACATAGCTGGCAGATGACGAAGGGGTTACAGTTCAAAACAGATAAAGTAGCAGGTGTCGCACAGTAGAATAACAGACTTGAAATGAAGATCTCACAGATAGCACTGATTCTGTCAGTGTCAGTGTAGTAGAACATATTTACACGTACAGTATAACATAACTTGACACATGTCCTAGAAAGTGAAGGAACCACCAAAACGGTTGAAACACCGCCTGACTTCTTTAGAAGTGGAGGAGAAAACCCTTTGGAAGCCTCATTTGGGCTCCATGCGATCTGACAGATAAGCAAACACAGCCCGAGTGAGATGCTGATCCGACTGTCAGGCTGCGAGATGATGTGGCCTACGCGGTGGCCTTGCTTCCCTTGTGTGCTGTGCTGCTGGGATGATGATACAGATGGTTTGCACGAGCAACACCAGTCATGAGCAAAGGTCGGAGATGTCACTACTGCTGTGCATAGTTAGTTGTATACTATTCATTTTTATACGTCACATTTTTTCACAATTAGATTTGAAGATCTCATTTATGTGATATGTGTGTCGTGTGGCCAAAGCGCACGCACCAATATGTGAGACATTGTGAGACAAGAACCTAGTTACATTGCTATTGAAACGAAGGGTTCGCAGGACGCTTTGACAGGAGTTGACACCTGGACCTTTGAGACCTTTGACACCTGGCGGTTGGTGGTTTTGAACATTGAAATTCATATTGTAATGATAAGTCTCGATGACTGACTAAAAAAAAGGTACATTCATAGATCTAAATACTGCTGTAAAGACTTCGATTTTGGGGGGTTGAAGCCCGTAACTTTGGGTCTTTCAGCGTCATTTTGGGGTGAAAAAAACCGGCCGAGGCATCCCTTCAACATGATTCGGGTCCTTCAACTCGGAGGCAGACGGTCTACTCACCCCGCCGCGAGACGAGGGTCTCGGAACACCGCGTGCGGTCACACGGTGCTCCGAGCGACGGCGTCGCTCACCCGAGCGACCTGTTTCGCCTACCTGCTACTCCGTCGGTGACTGTACCTGGAAGTCACAGTCGCTGTGGCACCTGGGGTGCAAAAAAGTGTATGGGAGCCACATTGATAGATCAGCAGTAGCAGTATGTCGGTAGATCAGCAGCATCAGCCGCTTGATCTGTTTGCGCCCTGTAACAGCCTCATGCCCAACCTGTTTTCGCACAGAATCATGCTGCAAGAGATCCCAGTTTTTATGCCAACACGTGTAGGAACCCAAAATTGGATTTCCTTTTCAAACCATACAGGTCCATGCAACTAGTAAAAAGAAGCTACTAGTTACTAGTAGCAAGGTGCATCGCTACTACGAACAGGTGCATCGCTACTAGTAGTAGCATCTAGTAGCAAATTTGCTACTAGTAGTAATGCCTGGAGCTACTACTTGTAGTAGCTTCTTGCTACTAGTAGCGATGCCATTGTTTCTAGTAGCTTACAATGACTTCTGATCACACCTCAGAGGCATCCACTCCTTGCTGGCGCTCCTGGCAGATTCTTCTACACTGGCGCCGGAGGTTCAGATCACTGGCGAGGCGGTGTCAGATGCGACAGACGGGGCGCCGGTGTTCTCCATGTTTGTTGCGACGTTTTCTGGGCTTTTCATGTCTCTTCCATGCGCCAAGTGGGTCTTTCGCTCTTGGCGGCACCGGCGAAGACGGCGTGAACTCGGTGAAGACCGGCGAAGACGGCGTGCGGTTGGGAGGAACTCTCCAACACCGAAGTCTCCGCCTTGGTCCTTCTCGTCCTTTGCGTGGCTCGGCGTGAGTCGAGGACGGGGTGGGTCTGGGAGGTGGAACTTCAAAGAGCAGCCAAGTGCCCCCTTGAGATGGGGGGAGAGAGAGAGAGAGAGAGACAGAGGGAGAGAGCGACAGAGGGAGAGCCTGAATTATATGAATATAAAAATCCAAACACCAAACAAACAAGCTCAAGACAAAGTCGGCCAATGTTGGCTATTGTAAACTGCTTATTTATTGAAAGAAACCTACTCAGAATGGTTTTACATCTTCATAATGTGGGGGTTCGATCAATTCACAGTCTAATCGGCGGCAGAAGGTCACGCCGTCTCAACACGTCGAGCGCCTGCTCGTCAGACGTCAGAGAGCTGGCGCTCGATGCACGCCCTGGCGATGTCCGCAGGAAAGGAGGCTTTGTCATGGGAGTGCCCCAATTTATCCCAAAGAGTAAAATCAATTCGTGTCATGGGCCCTCAAAGAGGGCTAGAACAAATCACATTCAACCTCATGGGTCCTTGGTGTTTTGAATTGTTTTGATGCGTTCTTCGCCATGAAATGCATTGGCTCGACTCCTGGTTCAGAACCACGGTGGTTGGACCGGTCAGACGGATCCGCAGACGGATCCGCTGGAGGCACTGACCTAAGGCTTCGCGACAGATCCGACGCTTTTTGGTGTCGCAGGGCATTTTCGAGCTCTTGGCAGTGGCCATCAGGCATGGGGTTCCAAGAGCGCGCAAGGGCCGCAAAAGGCTTCCATCTGGCAGAATGTGTGGATGGACGTGTGTGGACGGTCCGAAGTGTGGGAATGGGGACGATGCATGGTGATTCTGGGATGTTTGAGCATTGTGAACGCGACACTTTGGAGTCATGCATGGGCGCAACCTGTAGCAACATATTCAAAATATATATATATATATACATATATATGTTCGAATGCTCCGGCAAGCTCTCCATTGCTCCTAAGAGCAACCGAATTCCATGGCCTGCTCAGCATTGGGCTTCGGTTTCGGCCTTCCCACTGGATCCGCTTCTCTCGCGGGTTGAAAGCTTGAGAAGTTCATGCACTCAAGTGTGTGTGTGTGTGTCGCCTCTCTGGTCTCAAGGGACCTGGACTTGGCCTCGCCCAGTTTTCGATGGGAGGGGGCCCAGTTTGACTCTAGATTGTGGGATTTTCCAGGAAGTTCAGACATGGGAAGCCGAGTGCCCAGACAAGAGACGACAAGAGATCTCAATGTTTGCGCTGAACAGGTTATTTTGTCCTTCTTGGATGTCCTCGATGTCCGAATTTTGTCATCAGTTTTGACCTCCCTCTCTCCCTCTCTCTCTCTATATATATATGTATATATGTGTGTGTATGTAATATATAATATAATATATATCCCTATACTCGTACGCCTCAGATCAGAGGTCCTCAGAACATTTGGCGCATGTGGTGCTGCAGGCACCCTAACAGCGAACGACAGCTACACATCTTTTGCGCATTGCTGGTGCGGCTGCTCCGAGCAGACCCTGAACACCATGGTCCGCGGACAGTGTCACAACTCTCCCAGCCATTGGCGGACCTTCGGAGATGGTTTCCGTCGCGGCATGGCGTTTTTTGTGTTTGTGGTCGGTGGAAAAAATCCAAATAAGAATCATAACAACATAATATGTCATATTTATATAACAATATGCAATATATATATATATCCATATAATTCCATATATTTCTATAATGTAACAACAATAATAATACAAGCATAGACCCCAAACAGCTTCAAAACGATTCGTTTAGACCAATATTATTCAAACATCGGTTTCTTGGTACGCCCTACCTTCACCCCAAGATTTTTGTCGGCATTGACATCGCTATGTGTTCGGCCCCACTCCTCTCCAGTAAACCGGGCCACAGAGACCAACCACAGAGTTCAGGGGCGCGGCCAAGACAAGGACAAGAGGAGGACAAGACCCGGACACAGAGCCGGGCCACAGAGTTCAGGGGCGCGGCCAAGACAAGGACAAGAGGAGGACAAGAAGAGGACAAGGCCCAGCCACAGTGGACAAGAGGAGGACAAGGCCTGGACACAGAGCCCAGCCACAAAGTTCAGGGGCGCGGCCAGTGAGTGTGGCCAGCTCAAGGCCCAGCCACAGAGGACAAGAGGAGGACACAGAGCCCAGCCACAGAGTTCAGGGGCGCAGCCAGTGAGTGTGGCCAGCTCTTTTCTTCTAAGATAGAACCCCAACAGTAAACTGTTTGTGGAAATATATATAAAGTTGCAGGCAACGCTTAAATATAATTGGATATATGATACCAAGGACACATACGAAACAACATGAAACGACAACCTTCGAGGCTTTCAAATTAAATGGGCTCAGTCTCAGTATCCTATTCCTCCTGAACCATCAGCCGATTGTGATAACATCTTTTGGCCTTGTCGACTGTCACGGGGGTCACAGAATGCGGATTTGTTGGGACATTGGATTGGTGGTCCATGGGTTGTCGGATTGCCCTCAATAAAACGCCCCCCATTTGTTGTCCCATTTGATGTGACGACAGACGCGGGAAATCGGTGGTTGAAAGCTGAAAGCTGTACGAACTCTGAAGGCTTGGCTTTGGTGGGCTGATATATTGCAAATATTGTTGTATGATATTATATGACTCCATATGACTCCTATGATCCCAAAGGACCTAGATTCTAGATATAGAACCACAAATTCCTTTTCACACGACGTGTATTGGAGCAGGTGTTTATATATATATATATATGTCCCCAAGGAGCTTCAAAGGTTGTGTCCAGATGGAGCGAGAAAAACAGTGTGTGTGTGTGAGGTCTAGAGGTGTTGCAGCAGAAAGTCTGGAGATCTAGACGCATTGGGGTCCAGATGGGTCCAGAGAGGTGATGGTGAGTGTGAGCGAGATTGAGAGTGAGAGAGTGTGAGTGAGAGTGAGTGAGAGTGCGAGTGAAGTTGCGAGTGAGAGTGAAAGTGAGAGTGAGAGTGAAAGTGAGAGTGAGAGTGAGTGAGAGTGAGAGTGAGGGGGAAGGTGAGAACATAGAGTGAGTCAGAGTGAGTGAGAGTGAGAGTCAGTGTCAGTTTGAGCGTGAGCGTGAGCGAGTGTGAGTGTGGGTGCGGGTAAGAGCGAGAGCGGGAGTGAGAGAGATTTGACAGCACAAAGTGCTGTGCCTGCCATGAAGTCTGCACTTCGAGGTTCACAGAATGCATCGCTTGCCACGAAATCTGCACTTTGAGGTTCACAAAGTTCTGCGCTCGCCACGAAATCTGCACTTCGAGGTTCACAAAGTGCTGCGTCTGCCACGAAATCTGCACTTCGAGGTTCACTTTAAAGTTCTGCGCCGGCCACGAAATCTGCACTTCGAGAATCACAAAGTGGTGCGCCTGCCAAGAAATTTGCACTTCAAGGTCCATTAAGTACTGCACCTGCCACGATTTCTGAAAACGAACCAAATGTAGAAAAATCACGATTCACTTCACCTGTCACGAAATTAGAGCGCGTCGAAGATCACCACCATGCCCGAAGTGCTGCACCTGCCACGAAACCTGCATTTCGAAGTGGTCACCGCTCGATCCCTTGCACCTGTCACGAAAAGTCGACTTTGGACCACCAAAACACGAGGTTTCCCTTGCGCTTGCCACGAAAAGTGACCACCAGGTCCGAAAATGTGCACAGCGCCACAACGCGAGCGCAGTCGCGACAAGCACCCGCCGCGGCCAAGCAGACTTTGCGAGACTGCGCAGTCGAAATGCACTTCGAGGATTTCGGGACGCATGAGTGTACTGTAAATAGCGGCGAATTAGCCAAACGCCCAGGTGCAAGTAAGAACCCCTAGTGTGACCACACTGTTTGGGAAACTACAGGCTGTAAGCTCTCGACCTACATGGACATGACCGTTGGGTCGAGCTCTTCCAATCTGGGCCCAACTACAGGCTCATCAGGCCTATGCAAAATATGGCTTTCCACCTTTTGGAGCTTCAGTCTCCCAAGGAGAAGCTTTTGGAGCTGCTCAGTCGCCCAGAGTCCTCCAGTGCTTCCGCGGTCGCAGCGGCAGCTGCGGCACTCGCACCACCCCTGGAGGCGCGATGGGAAGGATAACGAGCGGCGGTGATAGCTAGTCAGCTAGTCAGCTAGTGTGAATGAGATAGCTGGTTACTTGGTACTAGGTACAGCAGACAGAACAGTGAATGAATTCCCATGTTTGGGAAACTGTTTCACTGAATTGGAGACAAACATGCAATCGGAACAACCACTGACTCAACCACTGCAACAAAGTGATGGACTTCCCGCGTGGAAGGGGCTGAGCCTTGCCGTGGAAGCCAAACAGATGAACCCAATTGATCTTAACAATTCTTCTGCTACTCGGAGGCTTGTTCTTTTGGTAAATCATGGTAAGTCGTTTTGTTTGAAACTGGTTTGATTCCCGGAGTCTTGGCTGTAAACTTTTTGCCTGGACGTTTCCATATCGCCTGATATATTCTCCGCCCTTTGAAAGACGGGGCCAGGGGGATTGGACTCATCCTCCGCTATACGACTGCGCTAGTCTTGATGGAATTGAGAGACGCGCAGTCGTGATCATTATGCAGGATAGAAAAACACCCGGCCAAGCAGGACGTGGTTAGAGCTTGGCATATCAAGAGTACAAGTTGACGGAAGTTCTTGGGGGAGAATGAGTTCTTGGTAGTTCATTCATATGAAGCGATCTCGTTTTTGTAGTGTGCGTGGCCAAGGAGCAACATGGAAATTTAATTGAACATTTGTTAGCTATATAGACTATAGTACTATATAATTTACAGCGTTGGCAGAACTCTCATATTTCTTTGCTATTTCAGGTCAACGAAGTTGAACTTGATCCACTTGTGAAGAAGGTTGTTTACTATTTTGGGTGTTTCTTTAGCAAAACACAGCCGATGTTTTAGTTCTTTGCTATTTTCAATTGATGCAGACCAGCCCTTCTTGCATGATATTCTGGCACATGTTTGATACATCTTTTATTGCCACTTTCAGGGTGGTTCCACTGCCCTTGTGCTGACCCGATGACAAGGTCTTTGCGCCTGCCATGCCGCAGTTGCTGCGCAATGCGGCACCAGAGGCCTTCAAGGCGTTGGCTGCATCTTTGACGCTAGATACGAGTCTTGGCATAGCAGGTGTCACCAAAAAACATGGCTCAAGAATAAAGTCTACGGGTAGGATATGATACACCATGATACGCCTATAAGGCATTCCCAGACCTAGTGACACTAGTCACTAGTGTCCACCAAACCCAAGAGCCCGGCAGGATCTTAATGCCTTGAACCTGCGCATGGCACGTCATGCCTCAGGAGCTGCATGGAGCAACTGAACGTGCCGCGCTTGCTCTCCATGATGCCAGTGGATCCACCAAAGGCCAATCTAAACCGGAGAGAGGGAGAGTCGGGCTGGGGAATGGTCGAGGCCTGGAAGGATGGGAGACTACAAATGGCAAGCAGGGAAAGAGAGATCATGTAAATAGGATTAAATAGGCAATTCTCCGGCAGCTCGATCTGCAATTGGTGCCACCACGACCTCGTCGTTGGATTGGAGATTTGCAGAGGTGAAGTGACCTGGAGACCGGTGTTGCTTGAGTTTGCTGACAAATGACTGGTGAATAGGTTTTGCCATGGTTGCACCAACCTAGGGAAAAGGTACTGCACGTTGCCGAAAAGAACGATTTCCCCTCCCTTCACAGGGGCGGGGCCACTTGATCGAGCTGTGCTCTCAGCCTCAGTTCCATCACCAGCTTCAGGGGCTCGTCTTCCATCATGGTGCGCTGGCAGCGCTCTCACTTTGCTCCCGCACTGCAGCGCTGACTTCGCTGTGTCGGCCATGGGTGGTGAGTACGGCCATGGAAGCTCGGCATCGGTCCTGATAGCGGGTCATTTTTTGTGAAGCTCAGCTCTGGCCAAAGTGCCTGGACCGCACGAAGATGGTCATTTGAGGTGCGCATCACAGATCATCACAGGTACAACAAATCAAGTTTGGTCAAGTTCGAACTTCGTTGCTAGGGGGCACGGCGAACTTCTTGCTCATCCTGCAAATGCTTTGCTAATTATGCTAATTGGGCCGCGCAGTACCGCGCTACTAGGCAACTAATCAGTAGAGCCAAGTAATGCACACACAGGATTAAGGAACCTTCTCATACTAATCAAGCCCAGCTCGAGCCCCTAATAATGGACAAATTTAGAACATGTTAGTCTCAATGTTAGTGCATTTTAACATTGACATTTGTCTAAGAGTTTTTCTTGGCAAACACTTCCCTACTATATAATCAAGCCCATTTGCCCCCGGAAAAAAAAACACAAACATAGTTCATTATAAAGTATAGTCTACAGTTTAATAAGCTGCAATCTAAGCTGCCGATGTTCTCCCAAGCAACCTTTCTTCCACAATCCCTAAAATCTCTCTACTCCAGCAAAATGGGTTAAGTTTCCCTTATTAAAACTCTATCAACATCTTATTATATAATTAAGGGTTTCAAGCTCACAAAGGGTACCCCTCACACAGGCCTCAAATCCTTGTTGACCTTGAAGAGGGGGTTTGATTAATCCTATGTTGACATTAGGGATATAGATCAGCCATCCTGGCACTGCTGCTGTTATAGCCAGGCTTGTGCTGGTTGCAACCCCACATGAACGTTAAATGGCCAACTTGGTGATAGGGTGACCTTCGCCAAGCTTGACCTCACCTGATCCAGGCTCTCCTTCGAAGCCTGTTGAGTTGTCCGACCTTTGGGCTTCGATCTGTTCGCGTGGCGCTCCCGTTGGCTGCTGAGCCTCGATATCAACCTGGGAACAAGTGCTGGTACGGAAACACGTGAAATGTTACTGTCACACATATACACAAGCGAAGTCAAAGTGTAGTACAGTGTGAGTCTGGGAAACGAAACGTAGCGTAGGGGGCGCGTACAGCGTCTTAGCTGGTTAGACCGGAAATATATTGGGAACTTTCAGGAAAGGGGAAGTATCTTGTTGAGGCAGTTTGAGGTTTGTGGAGGTTGCTTCATCAAAAGGTGCTCTAACAAACACAGCCACGTATTCTATTGTATACCCAAATTCATTTTTTGCTCGCTGGTCATGGTCCGCTGACATCATTCATGGTCACGAGTTCCGGATGCTGACTCATTCTCATTGAGGCACAAGAGGAGAGGGTGCCACCAATGTGCGCCTTCACTTGTGAAGTGGAAGAGAAGATCCAGATGCAAAAGAGACTTGTTTTGCAGCACCCATCACCTGGTTGCAAGTGTGTGAGGATACCGGCTTTTTCCCCTACTCAGTTGCGTGGGCCGCTTGCCATGTCTCCACGTGGTGGGCAGAAACAAAGGAAGACGCGCATTGTCGAATGCATGTTGTATGCTTTGGGGGTCTTTGGGCAGCCGTGATCACCCTTCCTGCTCAAAAGCTTTTGGCAAATTTAAGGGTGCGATAGGGTGCGGCATGTCTTTGGTCGGGGAGGCATTCGGTAGCGAACACGTTCACCCAGTCAACCCTTGTCAGACATTCCTGCAACACTTTCACCATCAAATCATACCCTGATTGTAGTAAATACTGTTATCCTCGGCAACTCACGATGCAGATTTGACACGCTGACACGCTCTGACCATTTCTTTTCGTTCCACTTAGTGTTCAAGGTGCTTTTCACCATGTATTCCATCGATGCTCCGGGATGACCGCTCAAATCATCAAGAATCCTCATCTTTTCTGGGCAACATCGCCTTTTTCTCCGTTGTTCTCCGATTTTGGCATGGGGCGCCGAGGACCTTCGGCAGCACCTGGCGCACCGCCACCCCACCCGACGACACGGCTGGCCGCGGCGGCCCTCCGCTGCGGAAGCAGCGGCTGCTGGGCTGGGCGGAGCTACGGCCATGGGCGCAGCTGCCTGCGTCGCCCAATGCCAAGCACTTCCAAGTGGGGCTCGGATTTTTGATGGGTTGACAGGTGTATGGTTGGTTTGCTTTGCTTCATGTTTGGTGTCACAAGGCCGGAGGCCCGATCTTTCAGAACATTGACCCACTCGAAAGTAACTATAAACTATAACAATCAACGGACCGGGCGGAGTGCTAAGCGGACGTATTTGGCGTTTTACGTTGCCAGAGACATTTGACAAAATGGTGGTGACTTTTTGATAGTGGCACTTGTATGATGCATGCGATGTGGTGGCTTAGTTTTGTTTGCGTGACATCCAAATGGCTGGAAAATGTCATAACTTGATGACTCTGACTTTGAGGTTCAGTCGCGACCTTCTACTGTTATTATGTGTGTAAACACAGGATCTGTGTGTACAGTGTGTATTTGTGTGTGTCCATTTCCACACTAGTTCTGTGGAATGTCGAAAGGATTCTTCCGCAGATTTGGCACCAAACGCCTGGCATCATGGTGGTTTACTGGATGAATATTGCCCCAGAGGTAGGACATGACTCGACTAACAGCAACAGCACGCCGCGCCCTAGAAAAGCTGCACTATTTGTTCGACCCCCTTAATGCAACTTTTGTCGGTTGGCAATGGTTTCTCTAAGCCCTGTCCTCAGGAGCGGCCTCAATTGCGGGTGGAGATCGTGGATGATCACACTGAGCTTTTTCTTGCGCTCTCGTTGCTGCCAGCAGCTTGGGGTTGCAATGAGAGCATGTCACATGCTATCTCACGGTTCCCCAAATCACAGCATGCCTATGTTCACAACATTTCATAACCAGTTTGTCGAGATTTAGTAATGCAAATTCAATTGTGTTGTTGTTCCCCACCTGCCAGGTGAAGGTTGTTACTGTAGATTTTATAAAAGCCATCAACTCCTTCTCCTTCTCCTTCTCCTTCTCCTTCTCCTTCTCCTTCTCCCTCTCCCTCTCCCTCTCCCTCTCCCTCTCCCTCTCCCTCTCCCTCTCC